AAACCCAGTAAAGAGCATGCCGAGGAAAGGATACCTGGAACAAAATGGTTGCTCTGTTGAACACAAGACGTTAATCACAAATCGTACCCTCTTTCTCATTCCGGCAATCGTGGGCTGGAGAGCCTCCCTCATAATGCGGTTCATGATTTCTGGGGTGGCAATGGGAGCGGGAGCATATGCACCCATTCCGCCAGTGTTGGGGCCGGTATCGCCCTCACCGATGCGCTTATGATCTTGAGCAGCGGGCAGAGGCACGACAGTGTAGCCGTCAGAGAAAGCGAGCACGGAGATCTCTGGACCAGTGAGGAGTTCCTCAACGACAACCTCGCTACCTGGCGTGTGGGGAAATATATGAATTGGGAGCACATATGTACATGGCAAGGTCGCAGACCTGCGGATCCGAATACACTGTCCACCATGATCTCTTTAAGACCAGCGATAGCTTCGTCAACTGTCTCTGGAATGAGGACACCCTTTCCAGCAGCGAGGCCGCTTGCCTTAATCACAACCTGGAAGCCACATGTCTTGACGTACTCAATGGCCTGTTCGTATTCTGAGGCAACAAAGACACGAAACTTGGCGGTAGGGATGCTGTGGCGGTCCATGAACGCTTTGGCAAAAGCCTTGGAGCCTTCCATGCGCGCAGCGAGCTGAGAAGGGCCAAAAACGGGGATACCCACTGTCGTATGGTAAACGTCGTAGGTCAGACGTATCAAATGCCAGACGGGTCACCTTTACGAAAGTGCTCCTCTACGCCTTCTACGAGAGGCTGCTCCGGCCCTGGCAAGACGAACGAGATCTGGGACGATCGTAAGTGAATGTGACAGATTTCACTATGTGCGTAAGCACCTTCTCTTGTGTCGCGAACGAGACGAGTTCCTCGAAAGTGTTGTTGCCGACGGAGACATTTTTGACCTTGGGCACTTGCGAGGTACCTCCATTGCCAGGACAGACAAAGATCTGTTCTACAAGAGCGGATCGAGCGAACTTCCAAACGAGGGCGTGCTCTCGGCCGCCGCTTCCAAGGACCAGGATACGGAGAGCCATGAGGAAGAAGGACGAGCAGACAGGGGAATCAGTAATGTCGGTCTGTGGTCGAAAAATGCGACCACGTGAATGTCACGTGAAAGCCAGCAAATTTAGATTTTAGACTCTTGCCCAGTTCAAGCTTTTCGGACAAAGATAGGCAAAACTAGATCCGGAGTGCCCTCGCCGGACTGGGCAGGAGTCTGGAGGTTAAGCTGTGAGACCTCGTGGGAAACTGTCGAGCAGAAGTAAGTCCATAGTCGAGGCCACCACTGGAACGCGATTTTTCACGCCGTTCTCGAGACGAGGGTAGCTAAGAATAATAAAATCGGTTGCTTTGTGACTACTGGAGCAGGTGCAGGGCCGATCACCGAGAAATGATTTAGAATCTTGCGCCGGTGCCTGCGGTCGCGCTGAAAACGTGTTCTATCTTCCATTCGACCAGAACAGCCAAAGACGCTCTTTAAACCCTCCATGCTCGCTCTCAGATAATCCACCACGACCACAGGGCCGATGTCCACGACACGGCACACGACGACGACAAGAAACGTGAAACAGGTCCGTTCAGCTTCTCAAACAGCAGCGCGTCAACGCTCATCCCATCACTCTTCCAGTTAAACCCGAATGCTGCTCAGCGTGGTTCATCTACATCGTCCAATTCCTCTCCTTCTACCATGCCCAGCAGGCCCCGCAAGCTTTCCTCACGCTCTCAGAAGGAGGCAAGGGTCTCCCGCAAGCTGTCGAAGCGTGCCGAACAGTCCGGGAAAGCGCCTTTGGTAGGAGAAGTTCGGGCCAATTCATCTACGCAGGACGTAGAGAGCAAACGAAGAGAGAAGGAAGAGAGCATTCCTCAGGAAATAGAGCAGCAGCAGCAGCAGCAACCCAGGCCAGTCCCAGCGAGGTCCATCATTCCTGACACCCTAGTAGCGCTTCCTTCATGGTATTCGACGGATGTCGAGTCGGCTGCTACCTCTACAGCACAATTCAGGAGGAAATACCCTCTACAAAACCCCGTGGGTCCTCGTTACTACAAGAACCACCACTTGTTCCCTCCGTCGTTAGAGAAGCGACCACCCTCCGTCTTTTCGCCTTCGTTCCCTCCTATGACCACCAGCACCGAACGTTTGCCGGATACGGCCAAGATAGCCGGTCCTAGCAGATCGTCATCGGGCTCCCCTACACCCTCTTCTTCCCAGGTCCGAATTCACGACGTGCGGGTCCGTACGCGCAAGATTTCCCAGGAGCACGCAGAGACACTCAGCACTGACCCATGGAGCTCTAATTTGCATGACCGATCTCCATATGATGTGGGAAAGAGCAAGGATCATGCGTCTGACAGTCTGGAAGTGAGTAACAGCGAGGAATATCCTACTTATTGCTGACGCCGTGCACGCAGAGCCCTACTTTTCCTGTGCGTCCCCGGCGAATGAGCATGACCACTATGCAACGGCACAAAACGACTGTGCCATCACCATTGTCTCAGTCGACATCTGCAGTGCACCTTGCGTCGGAACCGCTGAGCACGCTCCCGCCCCGTAGGTTGAGCAAGCGCCGGAAGACCCTCCGAGGCTTGTTCAGAAGTGACCGTGAGAACCGACCATTCATGTCGCGCGGCGTCTCATCGCCGTTGGAACATGAGGACGTGTCACGACAGCTGGGTCGGAAGGAATCGCGTACGGGTTCTATGATAGCTCCCAGTACGGCATCTGTCACAGCCATCGAGACATCCACAAGGCGGCAAAGTATACTTGGCCGACTTGTCAAGCGATTCAGTATCGTCAGACGGTCTGAAGCTTCAAAGTTGACGAAGAGCAGCTTCCCCAGCTTTCGGCAGTCCACCGAACTCGATTCAGGACTGGCCATCTCTCCCATCAGCCCAAGATCGGACAGCCCCGACAAGTCACACCTGACGCCTACGCAGCCAAAGGATGCACATAGACGCGTGCCAGTGCCCGCGGAGGACATGAACGCGGATAAGCATGGCGACCTGTATTCGAAAGACGATGCAGAGTCCCTCATGTCGGTGGACAACCGGTATTCAATGGGGAAGCTCATGGTTGCCAATCCGGATGATTCTGGCTCGGACCTTGACTTGCCAGAAAGAGGCAACAGGCCGCAAGGACATGCTCAAGACGGCGATATGCCTTTCAGCACGTCCCCTGAACCTCTTTCATACTCGCCACCGCAACCACCCTTCTTTGGCCATCCCATACGAGGTCCTCTATCTGTCATTTCGGAGGGCGAGACGTACATGTCGTCCCCGAGGATGCAGCCGGAGCAAGCTCTCGAAGAGTCACCCAGGACTCCACCGACGATACCCTCCCTTCTGTCTCTGCCTGCTCGGTCTGCTGCGCTCCCGATGGACCATGTCGTCCAAGCTGCATCGCCTCCCCTGCCTGACCTGCCACTACCTTCGGGCAGCCTACCAGAGATACCCACCGCTCCCTCGATGACCTCTGTGGTATCCCCGCCTGCGCCTATATCTGCGCCTGCACCCTCCACCGTACCTGCGCCTGCACCCTCGGTCTCGTCTGCACCTGTGCCCAGGAAAGAGGCGTCACTTCCACCGACTCCCGAGGGTTCTCGAGTCGTCACACCGCCTATGCAAGAGCCAAAATTTGAACTACAAGTCGAGCGAAAGCTAGAGCCTTCAGCCATAGACCCTACAACCGATCGCACCCCGAGACCTAAACCCCAGTCGCTCTCTCAGTCTGACCCGTCGAACGCTCGTTCATTTTCTACGCCACCACAACGACCTATTCATCGGACACTGTCTTCTAACACAACGGATACTTCTATTCTAGCCAGGGCCTCTTTGATTGTGAACCCTCCAACTCCTCAGGCACCATCGATTGCGATCCCGCCCTCCACTTCGCAACAGCCGACGGCTGTTTCGATTTCCCAAGACGAACCAAAGTCTCCCACTCGAGATGAATCGCCTACCAAGAAGGATGGATCCCGCCGCATGCGGTCAAAGCACACTGAGACCTTCAAACTCGTCCGGACCCCTTCGGGCAACGTGCAACCAGTTGGCAATAGCTTCGTGGCCGATGGTGAGCACTGGCATGTGGTCGAATCTCCCAAAGAGGAGACATCGAGGAAAAGCAGGCGTGAGCGTGAGTCGTCTGATGACCGCGACCGGTCATCGAGGCGCAAGAGCAAGCGTGCGGAAAGGGAAGGTGCTTCTGAGGACAGTGACCAGCAGCGAGCTCGGGAGCAGACTGGTTCCCCTGAGCGCGGTCTTTTTCATGGAGACGGTGAACGCCTCTCCTCAAATCCTCATAGATACAGCGACGACTCTCATAAGAGGTCTAGTGCCCCGGACGGACGACGCAGTCATCGCGACACTCAGCACGACGTGGCGCGTGCCACGCAGACGCCCATCACTCACAGCTCGAAATCCTACGTTCCGTCATCTTCCCCTTGGGGCGCCAATGTTGAGAGACGTACGTCGACAACTGCCTCGACTCGTCCGTCGTCTGACTTCCAGTCTGTCGCCGACATTAACACTCTGAAGGCGACGGATGCATGGGAGATTGAGAGGATGTGGAAGGGCCGGAGCATGATCTACGCACCCAACAACATGCACGTCAACGGAAACCACCGGCACCACATCAGCAGCGACTCCCGACCGACGACCATCATGAGCCACGACCTGCACCGCGCGAGCACCATCCCCAGCGTCGGCGACGCGGCGCAAACCACTCTGTCGACATATGGCTCTAGCCATACCTCATTCACCCTCGCCACGCCGCCGCACTCTCCACAGCATGCCGCGAGCTACCCCAGAGCTGCCCCAGTCGGGACAACTCGCCAGCCGGCCACGTTCACCTTGCCACTGCTTCCGCCGTTGAGCTCGTCGCCCCCGAACCCGCTGCCTGAACCGCCCCGCATCTCGTCTTACAAACCGGTGCCGTTCCCACTCGCTCTTGGAGGCACCGGCGAGGGCACCGCTTCCACCAAGTATTGGAACAGACATGCTAGCGTCACTGTGTCTCACTGATACCCCTGCATCGCAACTACACAACTACGCAATCACGGACTGCTACTGACTTGTTTAGAACTACTGCATCTGACTCTCACATTGTCATTGACGCTTATACAACTTCCTCGTCCAAGTCGGATTACAACTCGTCTCTGCCCTCTGTGTCGCCGCTCTGTAGCTGCTGGGTTTTCGTGTCCCTTCTATCATCGTCCTTAGTTCACGCCCTGTCTTCCTCTTCCTGCACGGTTTTTTCCAAGTGGACCCTTGCGATCTGTACTTTTTACCTGCGCTACTTTATTCGTCACATTGTATTGCTTCATTATTCTGTAATAACCCACACACTTTGGCCAGCGATCCTTCAGAAGAGTATGCATTGAAAGGCCGAGATGCAGTGAGATGTATAGTGTCAAACATGAGGTGCAGGCGTACAAAATGCAGCAGCGACAAGAAAATATGACCGGCATATTATCTAGAGACAAACATACAACATATGGAACCAGACTACAACAGGGGACGGGCATGATCAAGATCTCGAGAGCTCGATGTCCGGGTGGACCGGGAACTTGGGCTGTGGGTAGTCGTCCCAGGTGCGCTCCGAGTCGAGGAATCGACGAAGGCGTGCGACCTGCGAAGGAAGAGGTACATGACAATAATCTGCATCTCCATTTCGAGATT